ACTATCCAATAGAAGACGCATGGGAAGAGTCTCAAGCTAAATAAATACAATCTACACATTACTTTTATAAACTGTAATTTCTCATACCCGAAGGAGATAAATAAGGAGACGCTCAGTTCAATATGCTATATCTCATATCTAGAACAAACAAAATTTAAGAAGGAAATTGTAAGGAACATTCCATAAGCTACTTGGTGCTTATGAGCCAAACAAAAAAATCTTTTTCTCTCTTCATTTGGAATAGCCAGACACGTTTGACTTGGCATTTTTCTACCTACTCCCCCAGAAGATACTCTCCCAATTCTGTTCTTGCCAATTTGGTCAATTTACTTTAATGAGCAGCCCAGATAACAAGATCTAGGGTTCTAGTGTATATTAATATCTATAATTAAGAAGACAATCTGCCACCTTCCCTAACAAAATCATAAGATTTTAGGACATTCTATACATATTCACAATTTATACGGTCTTTACAACCTTCAAACCTATGCCCTACATTCCTCAAATTAGTACTCTCAAGAACGTGATACAGACCTACCCTTTGAAAGATTACTTTTTTTGAAAAGAAAAAACACATTTGTATTAATATTTTTAATTCTGCTGATTCCTTAATCTTGTCTTCAATCTTAACCCTAATTTTCTTCAGCCCAAACAGATCAACTAATGAAGGTCTGTACAGACTAGTGAGTAAGAACATAGACTCAAGAGAATTCAAGTCTGGGCTGACTCATTGACGGCATATACTCAACCTATACTCTCTTCATCTGGAAAATAAGGAAAGCAAACACTAGGACTATTTTACATTCTAAATTATTTAATACATACCAAGCCCACAGCATTGCACTTGCAGATAATAAACCTCCAAATGTGCTATCATGATAAGAACAACATTAAAGACGAAAGAGGGCAGAAGCTTTTTTTCCAACTATTTCTTAGGAATTTATGGTCCAATTCAAAGTTTGCCCATGTTTTGCTGCTATCCTGAAGATATTTACACTTTGTCAAGACTGAAACGTCAACAAAATTCAGGAATACCCTACTAAACACACAAAGTGAAATTTGAACTATTTGGTTATTCCTCAACAGTAATATCAAGAGGAAATTGGCAGAGGAGTAACACAATTATTTGCATATGACAGAAGAGTGGCAGGATTGAAGGAGCATGGTACCAGGAACCAAGAGGCCGGCTTCTGGCCCCATCTCTTCCTTCGACTAGCTAAATAATCACAGCAAGTCATTTACCTACTCTAGGCCACGTACTCTCAATTCCCCAGAAAGGAGCTCAGACTAGATTTCCAAGAGCCTTTAAAGAATGAGCATTCTGCCTTCTCATATGGGAAAGGAAACAAGGGTGCCATGTGGACATCGAAACCACAGAAACGGCAGCCGTAGTGCTCCGGCCTTTGCAACCTGTGGAGGCCAAACTCCAGGGAAAAGCTCTGCCTGCCAGTCACCTGTCTGCTATGCTATGTTTCATCCTATTGCTCTCCACCCACTCCAACCCCTCAATACAAAGCTAGTCTCTATGGCTGCAGATTCAAAGTGGCCTCCCTGAAACCCAATAATGCAAATATTTATATCTAGTCAAAAGAAATTCAAGTTTGCCATTCTCTTGTATAATTACCTCAAAAGAAAGGTGGCAAAAGCAGAACAGAAAGGAGTAGCAAGTATGTGAATTTAAGTAGCAAGGCCATACTTTCCTGGCTCAAACAGAATAAAACAAGTTTATAATGCATAGAACCCCAAACTAAATTCAAAACAATGAGTGACACAAAGAATGTTGACTGAAAAAGTTCAAAATCTATACATTTGGAAGGAGGCTTTATTCTTAAAAAAGGGTACCACAACCTCCAGGCAGGAAGTGAGGCCCCCAGAAGAAAGCAAGAATTGAGTGCTTTGAAGGAATGGTAAAGAACAGGATTTTTTTTTTTTTAATTTCAGAATATTATGGGGGTACAAACAGGAATTTATGCTGAGCTGGGTGGCCAAATATGCATATTTAAATGGTTATAGGAAGAGTCTTGAATATTTATTAAAGGAGAAACATGCACAGGTACAACTGAGCTTCTTGCTAACTTCATGGGTCCCATGTTCATAAAATTATGGCATTACCATGATACCAGGGAGGACCTTTTGGCCCTCTGATATCAAAAGGTAAAGCAGAGGACATGAATATCCTCTTTTTTGCAGCCACCTTAGACTGGTCAGAGCTACTCCATGGTTGGTGGTCTCTTATTAGGAAGGAATGCTGGTGAGCTGTGTTGAAACCACAAAAAGGGAGGAGGTGATCAAAAGGTTGGCTGAAATCAGTCGTGGGGCAAGTTTTTCCAAAGGGCTGGTTTCTGTTTAGCCCTTAAGGAAGAACGCTGATGGTGCTTAGCAAGAGAGGGGGTGCAACTGCGCATGTCTGACTGCTCATCCTGTTATGGCTGGGAACTCAATGTTAAGGTTTCTCTGGGTCCCTGTGGCCAAGAGGGGGTCTGTTCAGTCAATTGGGGGGCTTAGGATTTTATTTTATTTCTTAAGAGAAAGTGATCATTCCACTTGAAGGGCATTCACACGTGAGAGGTTAAATATGTACATGCAAATATTTTAAAATAGAAGAACATGATGCATCACAAAAAGACTAAAATGAAATATATTATAGCATCACAAATGGTTCTCGCTGACTTTTATTAAATAAGTCTAGAAAGAAGACAATCACGAGTTAAAAGCAAATGGCTTAGTAGAGTATTATCAACGGTGTTCCACCCTGGCCAGAGTGATTAGGATTATTTCAAGGAAGGAATCTTGTCTCAGCCAGGCCAATGAAAATATTTCAAGCATTTCTGATAATATACTGAAAAGAAAGCTTTCTTTTTACTGGACTTGAAGCTGGGAGTTACCACATGGAGAATGACTGCCAACCTTTTCAAATCCAATATGCCTGATGCATGAAGTCTTTTCCCTATAGCTTTTAATCCATGAGTACTATTAAATTCTTTTTTGTGCTTAAGCCAGTATGTTATTAAGACTTCCCTAAATAATATGACTAGGCAACCTTTATATATGCCTTGCTTTCAGACTGATCAAATGAGTTGTAAAGATGATTATTTAATGTCATAATCTTTGATATGAAAAAACATACTAAGAAATAAAGTCATAAGTATAACAATGGACTGACCCATAGATTTCCATAAAAGGAAAAGTATTCTTGGATCATGTGTATATCAGGTCATCCTGATACACATACATGTATTTCATATTATAATGCTCTATAAAAATATGAAAGAGAGAAGGAAATTGCTAAGCAACAGCTAGTAAAGGATTTTAAAAAGCATAAATGAGATAAGAATTGAAAATTCTTCTGAAGACATGTGTAATACTTGAGGAACATAAGTTTAGTAGAATACATTACTGGCAGTTGGGGGATCAACTCTAAGAATAATGTTCCTCAAACTCTGGCATGTGCAAAAATCATCTGAAAGCCTATTAAAATGCATATTCCAAGGATCCCCCGGAGAGACTATTAACAGTAGATCTGAAATAGGTGACCAAGGCCACCCGCCCACCCCCACTCCAGACGGAGAGGCAGCATGGGAATAAGCCATCTAAGAGAGCACCGTTTCAGAGGAGAGGGGGCTTTTCCAGACATGTGGAATATTTTCAATGTCAAACAATTTGTTAAGAAATAAGAGTTTTCAGTCACTTGCTTATAGTAAGAACATTCAATCTGCAAGTTACAACCCATTGGAAGGGTCCTGCAATCAATTTAGTAAAACCAGGACTACGGTAAAAGTAAAAAAGAATGCATCAGACTGTATCACACATACTAACATTAGTGTTGTATGTTTGTTTCAGGTGTGGGTGTAAGGAGATGATATAAAAGGTATGACTCTCCAGAATTGCAATAAAAAAAAGTCTGAAATCCACTGGTTTAGATTTATTAGGAAAAAGGTCTAATATAAAACCCCCCAAGTCAGATCTTCAACAATAAGGGTTCTTATGAACTCTGAGAAGGTCTACAGGGAGTGGTCACTAGACCTTATAAGAACGGACTCATCTCTCGGAAAAATTTCTGAGATCTATATGACATTGGGAGAAAAGAAGTCCATTTTTTGAGTGTGCAAGTTTTTTACATCCATGATTAAGTTTATTCCTAAGTATTTTATTCTTTCTGATATGATTGTAAATGAAATTCCTTTCTTAATTTCATTTTTGGATAATTCCTTGTTGTTATATAGAAATGCAACTGATTTTTACGTTGATTTTGAATCCTGCAACTTTGCTGAATTCATTTATGACTTCTAACATTTTTTTTGTTTTTGTGGAATCTCAAAGGGTTTTTAGATATAAGATCATGTCGCCTGCAGAGATAACTTTCTTTCCTCCTTTCCAATATGGATACCTTTTACTTCTTTTTCTTGACCAAGCGCTATGATTATAGAAGCACAGGGTGGAATAGTGGCTGCCAGGGACTAGGGCAGGGGGAAAATGGGGAAGTATTAATCAAAGGATATAAAATTGTGATTATCCCAGATAAATGAGCCCTAGAGATCTACTACACAGCATAGTGCCTATAGTCAAACATACTGTGTTGTACACTAAAACTTTGCTAGGAGGACAGATCCTATGTTAAGTGTTTTTATTGCAAATAATAATAATGATGAAATAAATAAGAAAACAGAATGAAACGTTTGGAGATGATAGATTTATGGCATAGATTATGGTGATGGTTTCACACATGTATTTTTATCTTCAAACTCACTAAGTTATGTGCATTAATGATGTACAGCTTTTTGTATGTCAAATTTAAATAAGAATGTTGGGGGAAAATATATTTTTTTAAAAATTCATGAAAATAATAAGGTATATGAAAAGTATAAAGTATGTGAAAAATTTATATACTTTAATTAAAAAATATGTTTTAGTTGTTTTTACTGGGTATACTTTTAGAAAATAAAAATACTTTTAACTGGAATGTTTTTACATACCGTCTCAGATACCTATGCAAGCCTTACCTGAAAGTGTCTTTTGGTAAGAAACACATCGATGTCTCCACAAAGAAATGGCAGATCTCTCCCGATTCTGCAGTCCATTCAGTCTTTCTGCTAGCCCACCTCTGTTTAATGAATTATAATGTATTAAGTTTAATTAAAAGAAAAACTACAGAATTAGAATATTTATATTTTATATCCCTCAACCAGAGACAAACAGGTAAAACATGTAAAATTTTAATGTATTTTTGTTATATTCTCTTCCCACAGGCCATATCCTCCTAAGTCAGACTTTAGGTTTCTTAGAAGCTCAGTTTCATGATTCTTAGGAATATGCACTAATTTTACTTCCTAAGAATATCATATTTTTAGAAATATGAAGTTAAATATCAGTTTACCTCCTTTTCTGTTCTTTCTTAGTTCATTTATTCCATAAATATGTACTGCTTACTTATCACCAGCTATATGCTGGCACCTAGCACTTTGCTAAATACCACAGACACAAAAATAGTCATGAGCTACCCCATGGGGTGCAGGAGGGCTCACAGTGGGTTCAACAGATGGGGCAATAGATAAGTGTATAGTGGGTTCAGAGTTCCAGTCAAGAATAAACTTGCCAAACTGTTGATAAGTAGAATACTCAAATAAGCATTTAAGTATGGGTCTCTTATTTGGACTCTAGTGACATTTGAGAATCAATCACAAACGCAGAGCAAATATACCAACATGATAAAAAAAACAAATTTCCATATATGGCAGGAAGACAATTCATAGCAATGGACATACAGGTATTTCACAAGAACCCTTACCTATCAATAAACATATATATTCATTGATGTGTATGTGTACATATACACGTTTTTATAAATGTATGAAAGTATATATGCATTACAAATATATACATACATACATAAATTAATAAATAGAGAGAGAGAGAGAGAGAGAGAGAGAGAGAGAGAGAAGTCAGCAGTTCCTAACACATCTATAATCTCAAGAGAACTCCAAATCAATTGTTAATCACCATTATGGCTACATGTTACATAATTTATCAATGTATTTTCTCATAAGTTTATTATCTCATTACCAGTTAACTCATAATTTTACTACATTATCTTGTTTTAGTGAACTAATAATCCTTTGAGGTAGAAAGAACAGATATCAATACCTATTGCACAGATGATAACATCACAGAGTTTAGAGAGAGGGTAAGGCACTTCAATATTACATAACCAGCCAGATGAGAAACAAGCTGTTAAAACCAGAAAGGACTTACCACAGTGCCTGGCAATTAGCAAACCTTCAAGAAGTGCCCATGATTGCTGTTACTGTTTTTGTTATGGTTTTTACTTACACTCCATGCTCTTTCCACCATGATTAAAAGGTTTTATTTTAACAAATATATTATATTATCACTACTACCTACCGTGTTTCCCTGAAAATAAGACAGGATCTTATATTTATTTTTCCTCAAGAAGACACCCTAGGGCTTATTTTCAGGGGATGTGTTATTTTTTTTTTAAGTACAGTAGGACAATCTACATTTATTCAAATATAGTTAAGTCGTCTTCTTCTGGAACATCATCATAACTCTCCAAACCCCGAATTCCATCCTGAATTTCCTGCGACTCTATTTCCTTTAGAACCATTGGCACCAATCTCTCAAGTTGAGTGATAGAGCTCTCATGGGGCAGATGAGAAGGGCTGCTCGTCTTCTTTACCGCTCCTCGACGAAACGCATGGGTTGTGCAGATACATTTCATAGCCATGCCCATGACTAGGTCTTATTTTCGGGGTAGGCCTTATATTGCACGAATGCTTAGAAATCCTGTTAGGGCTTATTTTATGGGTAGGTCTTATTTTCAGGGAAACATAGTAGTATGTTTTCCTATAGGCAGTAATTATTTCTGAATGTGTGTGTGTGCGTATGTATAGTATATATAACAGAAACATTTTTTAAAAAACACCTCATACTCAGAAATATGCCAAAGAACCTCTGCTTTACGTATATGTCTAACCTCTACTTAATGGTAAGCCCTTCTTTATATCATTCTGTTTACATGAAATAACTCCTTTATACTCCTCTAGAAAACACTATGAAGTAGGTACTACTATTATCCCCACTTTACAGATGACAAGCTGATGCAGTGAGACATTAACACCTGCCCAAGTGAAATGTCTAATGAGTGGCACAGCTGGGCACACACCCAGGTATCTGGCTCCAGAGTCCACACTCTTAGTTGACAATATACAGACCACGTCTGAAAGAATAGTTTTTAAAATGATATTCATAATACAATACATACAAGAAAAAGGCAAAACACTATATTCTTTGCATAATTATCTAGATTAGATAGATAATTCATTGCCAAATGTTGTTTTTCAGTGCTATACCTTTACAGAGGATAAAAGCAAAATAGAATTTGAAAATGGTATCTGGTTAAGGTCAAGCCTAGAACCCCAGAAGAAAACTATAGGAATTTCAAGATGAGAGGTAAAAGCAAGAATAAACATGAGCACAAGAGTTCTCTATACCTGAAGAGTACCTGGAGCCCCTCAGATAAAATCTGCATCTCCAGCTCAGTTTGGGTTTTGGGGCCTATCCTGCTGGGAATTTGGGCCAGATGCACTTGAATTTAAGAATAGAAAAAACACATTCTCTAATCGATAATCCCATTTCTAGTAAAAACTTATCTAACATTAAAAAACAAAAGTCATATAGGAGGTTCAGGAAGTTCGCCATCCACACCCATATCAACTCTTTACTGTGGCCAAGCCAAGTTATTCACAGACTACGTCCAGAACTCCAATGGAATGAAAATATGAATTCATGGAGAAAGTTAAGATATCCTAATATCTTTTCTACAAAATTAACAGATTGGTAACCTATCTCAAAAGATTACTGGCATCAATTCAACATTGGTAAACATTTCCATAAAATCAATATGGAGAAGAGAATAATAATAAAGATTAAAAATATTCTAACTCATTTCCAGTCAAAATACTCATTAAAGGCCAGATATGGTGGCTCATGCCTATAATCCTAGCACTTTGGGAGACTGAGGCAGGAGGATTGCTTGAGCTCAAGAAGCTTGAAGTTGAGTGAGCTATGATCACACCACTGCACTCTAGCCCAGGCAACAGTGTGGGACCCTGTTTCAAAAAAAGAAAAAACAAATACTCATTAAAATGTTTTAAATAGGCTATACCACTAGGTAAAGAAAAAATAATTAAAATGACTAGTATAATGCTTTCAACTTTTGCTTTCTGTTAGATATAATAGATACTGTGAAAATAACTCGATCATAAGACTGGGGAGATACGGCTTTATTATTAACAGCACACTTAAATATCTAAGCAATTTTGCATTGGCTTTTATTTAGTTATGCCTCAAACAGTGCCATGAATCAAAAAGATGAAAAGAAAAAAGAAAAAGCCCAAAGAGATTGAGTTACATTTCCCATGGAGCAAACCAGAGGGAAAAGCCAATGTACTCCAGCCTTGAAATGCCAACTGTCTCTTCTTGATCCCAGCCAGCTGGCCATTGTCAGGTAAAAATAATTCTTTTAACCACTGCTCTACTTATGCTAGATAATGGAAGTCTATTTCTTATACCCACCTTTTCCCCTAGCAATAGTTTATTTCTCAGGCCCCTATATCCCTCTGTGACAGAAACTGGATATCTTTTACCATGAGCATTATCAGGATGTCTGTATTTCAGCATTTTGATAACAAAGAGTTCATTTCAACAAGCAAAGGTTTAATGCAGCACTGGTTCTCAGTCGCTGTTATATAAGAAATTTTCTCAACTCTCTAGAAGCATGACTCTCCAGTACTTTCATTACCAAACAGCCTATATGCCAAAATATGTTATTTTTCCCTTTGCTTCAGAAGGAGGTCAGCAAATCACCATTCCTTCACCAAGGGGGTACAGGTGGCCACAGCCCTTTCTAGTCAGTTTAGTAAAACAAAGTCTTCCAGTTTGAAGGCCTGAGACTGACAACCCTAAGCACACCAATTTCATTGTTAATATTTAAACACAGTAACTTTAAAAGAGTGGGCATAAAATAGACCTCCTTAGTTTGTGTTAGAAATCACAAGAAGAAAGCTATTATTTACATATTATTGGAGCTGCTTCAGCCACTTCTATGAATGAATGTTTCCTTATTTTTTTTTTTTTTTGGATACAGTCTTGCTCTGTCACCCAGGCTGGGGTGCAGTGGTGTCAGCCTAGCTCACAGCAACCTCAAACTCCTGACCTCAAGCAATCCTCTCACCTCGGCCTCTCAGAGTGCCAAGTTTAGAGGCATAAGCCACAGCACTCGGCCTTCACCTTCTTTTGACTCCCATGCAGTGGCCTTTAGTCACAGTGCTGTGTTCTCTCCCCTGCTCTCTCATGGGAAGGCCTGGCTGTTTACTGCAGTTTTCCAGACCATCGCGCACACTCACTCACACTCCAGCCCACCCAGCCCCGGGAGGGAACTCCCTAGCACTGTCTGGGTATCTTCAGAGGCCACCTCTCCTGGTCAGCCAGGCTCCAAGATTATGTCCTCCACCCACCCACAACCCCCAATCCCCAGGTCATTCTCTGATCTTGAAGTTACAAACTGTCTCCCCTATTAGCTCAACTCTAAGCACCCATCATCCTTACTGTTCCAGCTCGTCTCCTCTAGCAGCCTGACTCTACACGGGTTGACAACCTCTCCCTAAGGCCTGGCTGGTTGGTCCTACCCTACCTCACTATGCTCCACACCCTGCATGGTCTCATTTCTACTCAGGCCAGCTTGGGCTTCACAGGCCATTACAACTTCTCTCTCGGAACTCCTGTTAACTCTTTTCCAATGTGCCCCTGGGCGATTCCCATGCTCTGCCTGCTCTGTAAGTGCAGCCCCAGGGTTGAATCCACACTGGCTGGTGGGTTTCAAACTCAATCCATGACCACTGCTCCCAACAGGATCTCATCCTGTCACACAACTGGAAGCACTTCCCCATCCATTCACCCCCCCTCATATGCCTGGGTCACATACCCTCTCTTCAAACATCCCTCTTTATCCTTCCTATCAGCTGATGAGTGAACTTCCCATTTCACTGAAATAGAACTTGTCAGAAGGAACCCACTCCCCAGCCACGCATAGATTCATGCCTGAACCTGCAAGGACTCTGCTCATGCTCCTGGCCAGGGCACCATCACTCATGACCTTCCTCCCACGTCAGAGACAGCTCCATCAGTTGTCCTCTCCCTCCTCAACCTCAGCAGTCTCCCCTTTTCTCCTAGACCTTTCCCATCAATATACAAAAAGTAAAATTTCTCCCTCAAGAAAAAAAACCTCGACTTTCCCATTTCCTTCCAACTAGTACCTTGTTGACCTGCTCCCCTTAAAGCCAAACTCCTCCAGAGTTCCATCCGTGCTGTCTCCAGTTTCCCCCTTCCCTCCTCTCTTGAATGCACAGCAGTCTGCTCTGCCTGGCCACTCCACTAAGACAGTGCTACACTCCACCTGTCACCATGGAATCTCAGGGGTCAGCCTGAGCAGCATCCCTCACAGTGAGTCACCCTCTCTCCTCACTTGCCTCCAGGATATCACACCCACCTTGGTTTGCATCCCCCTCAGCAGCCTCTTCCTCCACACCTTGAGCTCTGTAGAACACCCAGGGCTTGGGCCTCGGACAGATACTCCTCTTGCTCTGCACTGCATCCCCCATGACCTCAACTAGCCCATGCTTTAACACCATCTGGACACCAAAGCGTACAAATTCACTCCCTAGCACTAGGTCTGCCTGTGGATTCCAGACTCATGTTCCTCCTCAGATATATGATGTCTAACTGAAAATATTTGTTCAAAAGCCTGTGACTTTCATACTAAAGAAACAAAAATGAAAGTGTCCACTCCCCTGCACAGCCCTGCTGCCTCAGCATAGGATAGGGCACTCCATGCTTCCTGCTGCTCAGCACCCCACCTCAGGGGCTTCCCTGTGCCCGTATAAAATGGAAATGCCCCCTCTCACCTCAGGCTCCTCTGTCCTCCCTTTCTGCTTTTTCTCCATAAAGCTTATCTCCTTTGCCATCACATCTTCTTTAATTCTTATCAGCCTTCCCCTGGACACAGGTGTGGGCTCTGATCACCTTTGTTCACTCCTGTGCCTGACACAGTGCTTGGCATGTGACGCCCTTGCGAGGGCTGGGGGCATGACTTCCTGTAATTGTGTGGCATTACCTCCACCAAAAAGGACATGCTAATCCCTTTGATGGGTTTCCTTTCCTTTCTCCCCAGAGACTGGTACAAACCACCACCATTCTCTCTTGAGGACTCAACTTCTTCACTTTGGGCATAAGTCCTTACATCTTATTTCATGAAAAAAAAAATAATTCTGGAGTGAACAGGCATGAATTGACTCACTGTGCTCCACCTGTCCAACCAGACTCAGCCACATCCTCAGGCCCTTCCCTTCACTTGTGTGCCTAAGCTGGATCTCCCTCCCCCTCCTCCTCCAGGACAATGACAGACACAGGATCCCAACCTCTCTGTCCTACTGGCACCCCCACTATTCTCAAAGTCTGTCTCTCCTACTCGCTACACCCTCTCTAAAGCTGCATCCCTTTCAGGCCAGCAGCAATCCTAGAGAGAAGGAGCAAAGCCTCCTGCCTGGGCCCCAAATCCCACAAAGGAAACTCGGGCCCCACTTCTTGAGCCACATGCTACTTCGGCCCTGGCCCACTGGCCCACTGACACTGCCCAGGCTCTCTTCAGTGCACACAAGGCTTGCCTTCTCTTGAAGTGAAATCCAAAACCTATGCTCTTCATTACCATGTTTACTCTTTCTACCGAAACTCCTTTTCCCTGAAATTCTCTACAACTTTGCTTTTGTGGCACTGCTTCTCACAGGCTATCTTGTTTTCATTGGGTTTTTGGTTGGTGTTGTTTTGATCTTATTTAGAGAACAAAGAGACTTTGTATTACACAGGGCAAGGATGATTCCTTGGCCACCAGGCCCAGCCCCTGACACTCTAGTGACAAGGACATTCCTCCTCTGTGGTGCTCCACAGGCACACCAGCTGTTTCTTGTCTAGAAGGCTTTCCTCTCTCATACTTCTTTATATTTGCAAGTGTTGCCCAGGCTCTCTCGCCATATTTGTGAAAGTAATCTGACATGGTTTACATTTCCCTTTTTAGACTATAAGTTACTCACGAACAGAACTCTATAATTTACTCACAAACAGTTCACTCAAGCGAACTCTGGTTCACTTGCCTCTACTGTCTAAGACAGCACCTGAAACACTGATGCGTGAAAAATTTGACAAGAAGTCACCATTAAGAAAAATAGTCATGTAAGCTGGTCATGACTCAGTCCCTGAGTGCTCAGCTTGGATGGACAGTACCATAAATCAGTTCTAGAACTCAGGACTTCAATAATTGTTTATCAAAATTACAATTCTCTTATGCTAATTTTCTTTCCCAAATAAACAAGTATTTTTAAATTAACATTTTAGATATTTGGGTTTATGAAGAAAGAAAAGTTGAAAAAAGTATTTAAAAAGGCATAACTTAACCTTAAAAGCTTCTTCTTCTTTGCTGAATTTTCTGGAGTCCTAGGAAACGTAGCTGTCCATTTCTGGGGGGTATATATGACGATTTCCGCCGATTCTGCCCTTGGGTCTGTCAGTCTCTCCACACCCTGTCTCGCATCTGATCCAGACTCTGTGAGTTTGTGAGGGGATTCTGAATCAATGACTAGGGTATTTTCTGAGTCATCATCTTTTTCACTATCTGATGAATATTCCAAAATTTCTGTAGAAATTGGCTGAAAAAAAATTAAGAGAAATGCAATTAAATATGGGGAATTCTTTATTCAAGTCCAAATTTACATATGCCTATCATTCTATTTCCTTATGATATTATATTAATTGAAATAGCTTTTTAAATACAGTATCTGTAGCTCAAACTTCTGTTTTAACACAAAATCCAAAAGTACCCAAGACAAAGACAAGAAGAGGTTAAACCAATTGTAAGCTAGGCATTATCTCGTGGGATCCACTGAAATCAGTACAAATATTTCAATCTTCTTTCCGCAAACTAAAAGTGCCACATATATAGGCAGCCTCTAAAAAACAACTAATCATACTAATCTGAAAGGCTGATGACAGTCACTGTAATCTGACACCTATTAGAAAAAAGTATTTCTCAGATTTTGAAATGTAATGTGGAACTAAATAATATTCACTATTTGTTATAAACCAAACATAAAAAAATTGCCTCTCCAGGTACAAACCATTTAATTTACCAAAAGAATGTCCAAAGCTAAAGACAAAAACTTGACTTTTTAAGCAAAATTCTAATATAATATTTTCCAGAAACTAGTATGAAATTGCAAATATCGATAGGAACTATTTAAGAATATGAATCACTGTCTCTTTCCCCTAACATTTCCTAAAATGTTTCTCTTTCTCCTAGTCAAATTTCTAAACTTCCTAAATAAGTTTTTGAAAATTGAATTATAAAACAAGAATTCATAACACATGACCAATCCTGAAGAGAAGAATCAAAAGATTCTTTCTTATGTTTTCTGTCTTTGCCTAGACACACTAAAACTTCTAAGTGTGATAGGATTTTCTTTTCCCATAACTTGGTTTTATAGGTCAGTTCCATGTTGATCTAGTGTCAGCAACAATTATTCCTTCAATAGTCTAATCTCCCAGTGTATTAGCAGCCCCATCTAATTTAGTGCCCTGGTGTTGCACAAATAGCACTGGAGTTCTCATCATTTGCTAATCTACATAAAATAAGAGACCTTTTCTGAGGATTATATGGTTAAATCGTTTTTATGAGTCTTAATTAAAAAAGACATCATCCATCCCCATACCTCCTCAAGCTAGTCACCTTCTATTAGGCACACTGAAAATAAGAAAAAGTGAATGACTAAATTTCTAAAGTAAATGAAGAGCTTAGTTCTACCACCTTCCTCCCCATTTCAGCTTTGTGCCTAAATCACTGCAGGTATCTGCTAACCCATTAATAGGCATTTGGGCACATATTTTCCCGTAAGACAGCTTCTGAATAAATATTAAAAATGAGCCACCAAAGAACCAGAGCAATTTAGACTGAAAATGAAGGTCTTTGACACTGAAAACTTTTATATGTTATTTAAGAATATATCTAAATAATTAAATAATTTCATCTTTTTTTTATTATGTCTTTTCTTTAGTAGCCAAAACTTTTGCACTTCATTCTAGAAGTTCTCTCAACCTGAGCACTACTGCCATTCGGGGCTGGGTCAGGCGGTGGGGCTGTCCTGTGCACTGTGGGGTGTGTAGCAGCATCCCCAGGCTCGACCCACTAGATAACGGGAGCACCTGCCCCACCAGTCACAGCAACTCAAAAATGTCTCCAGATGATGCCAAATGTTCCCTGAGGGGCAAATTATGTCCACCTGAGAACCACTGTCTAAGAAATAAGTCAACAAATAACCAGCCTACAGGTGGCCTGGGCTGGAGACTTGCATGCAAAGAGATTCACACTGCTTCGTGAGGCTGGGGAGGCCAGGCCTAAATAGTTATAAAACATCATGATAAAAGTATTATAATAGAGGTATTGCTTGGGCACCAAGGAGAACACATAAGAGCAGTGACAAAGCCAGGTTGAGCATAAGTAAAGAGAAGAGTTAATGCATCAGAAAAGGTTTGCTTCCCAGGATCTGCCACCTGAAGCTGAATGCTAAGTGTGAGTTAATCAGGCAGAGAGAAGAGGAAGAACATTCCAGGGAGAAGAAGTAAGGTGACCAAGAATATAAGATCAGGTATTCCGAGGCAGTGGGGAGCCACTGGCAGCTTTAAATGAGGAGTAACAACATCAGATGTTAATGTACAATGATCATCCACACAACATTCTGAAGAACAGACTATAATATAGGAGAGGAAGGGCCCATGCTAGCAGAGAGAGAAGGCAGCTAGCTAGAGGGCTCTTCTATCATCATTGCAAGAGGAATAAAGAGGAATAAAAGAAGTGGACTTGAAAAAAAATGAGGAAAATGATGCAGCAACACTTGAGGACCAAATTCAGTATCAGGGGAAACACATCTAGGGAGAGTTTCTAATACTGAATTTGGTTTTGATATGGCAATGTTGTGATGCCTATGGTATAGCTGGAGTAACAGTGACCAATAGGCAGAGGCTTCATGGGTCTAGAGTTTTAAGAGAGTAATGTGGGATGGAGATACAGCTTCAGGAACCCTAAGAAAAGAAACAGTGTGTGAAGGCATGAGCGTCAGAGAAGAATGTATAAAGAAAGTATGTACGGCGGCGAGCGGCGTCAGAGCTTGGAGGGGGGTTCACGGCTTCTGGCGGGTGGCGGTGTAGGAGGCGAGAGCTGGTTTAGCCCGTGTCGCTTCTGTCCCGGGAACTGGGCGGAGAGTGAGGGCACGAGGGTCGCTTTCGGGGGCTGCTGCCTTCCATGTACACGTCGTCGAGAGGAGCGCAGCCCGGACTCTCCAGCAACCCCTCGGGCTCCTTTTCCTCACGTCTGGAGGCGGCGGCGGCCACCGAGACAGCATCGCACCTTCCCCCACCCTTTTCCCTCATCCCCGCCCAGAAGGGCCGGGTCTGCGCCCCAGCCCCGCCGTCCGCCCGCTGCGCCGCCGCCATGTCGGCGCAGGCCCAGATGCGCGCGACGCTGGACCAGCTGACGGGCACCTCCGGGACGGGCCCTGGTGGTGGCAACCGCCTGTGTGCCACTGAAAATCGTGCCGATGCCTGGCATACTGCATAAATGGAAGCAGGGTACCGCGTGAGTTGAAACATTGGTCACACTATATAAAGTTTGTATATGTGAATCAGTGTAACTCATACCCATATAACTGGGGGTCTGACTGTATTTGGATTTTTCTGATAAGGCATCATGGGCTAAGGAAAAGAGCACTGGGCTGAGACTCAGGAGACCTGGTTTCTAGCCCCAGCTGTACCTCTAATTATAAACTTGGTTGTGAACCACGTACTACAGATGTTTGACCTACTTGACTCAACATGAAAAGAATTTAACCAGCTGCCCTTGATGAATCTTTTGTCATGTCTCCTGAATATGCCTTCACAGTTGTTGATCACATAGCATGGTCATCCACTCACAGCTTAAAAAAATACAGGGAGCATCGGAGAGAATGGGTTCAATGTATCTATGCCTGCCTACTTCAATCTGCAAGGGAGTGTCAGAAAGGCCCCGCTTTCGCCGAGCCGAGATACTACTGGTCAGCGAATCAAATTCAGTGATGACAGAGTGTGCAAGAGTCACCTTCTCAACTGTTGCCCCCATGATGTCCTTTCTGGAACTAACATGATGAAGTTTGAAATTGATGATATCGTGAATTACATAAAAAACAGTTAAGACAAGCTCTTCAGAAGGCACCTTCAGAAAAGACTCTGGAAGAAAAATCTCTACCGTTTGTCAGCCTAATTAACAAGATACTGTTGTATGTAAAGATAAGATTAAGTTATGAACTTCTTGCAGAATTTAAACAGAGTTTTGAGTTGTGAACCTCTTGCAGAATTTAAGCAGATTTTTAAGGACTAGCTAAAGGACTTTGTGAGACTCCAGAGTTGTCACAGAGTGGTATCCTTAAGAACTTGAAAACCAGCCGGGCGTGGTGGCTCATGCCTGTAATCCTAGCACTCTGGGAGGCCGAGGCGGGCGGATTGCTCGAGGTCAGGAGTTCAAAACCAGCCTGAGCCAGAATGAGACCCCCGTCTCTACTAAAAATAGAAAGAAATTAATTGGCCAACTAAAAATATATAGAAAAAATTAGCCAGGCATGGTGGCCATATACCTGTAGTGCCAGCTACTCAGGAGGCTGAGGCAGCAGGATTGCTTGAGCCCAGGAGTTTGAGGTTGCTGTGAGCTAGGCTGACGCCACGGCACTCACTCTAGCTGGGCAACAAAGCGAGACTCTGTCTCAAAAAAAACAAAAAAAAAAATTTGGAAACCATACATTGTGTGATTTCCTCATGAAAAAAGCACTGTTTATAACAGTTCACCCTGTGTACAAATGGTTTGTAATTACAGAGCTATGACTTCTTTAGCAACCAATCCCTATAGAATAAATGCTTTTCTAGGACACAGTCTAATAGTTGACAGCTCTTTATGTTGAAGATGTCTGTTTCTTTTCTTTTTACATATTACATGAAGAATGAAAATAACTAAATTATAACTGATAATTTTATAATACTTTTTCTTTGTTGTATGTCTGAAGGTTGCCCTTTAGTTTCCCTGACCTTGTTCGTGTGATCTGTCACTTCCTAGCAGAATATGACTTACTGATACTCTACATTATTTAGCAAAAGAGTAACATAGAAGCCTGGTGTGGTAGCTTGTGCCTCTAGTCTCAGCTACTCAGGAAACTGAGGCTAGAGGATTGCTTGAGCTCAGGAGTTTGAGTCCAGCTTGGGCAACTTACTGAGACCCCCATCTCTTAAAAAAGTAAATATAAAAGGATATACAGAAATGTATTCCCTAGCTATTTTTATTATAAGGAGGTTGGACTTTATATCAAGCACTTGGAGATGGAGAGTGTGATTTCTGAAACTTGTATTCATAATTGACATTTAGTATGGACTTTCTTTCATACTGAATGAAATTCAGTTTCATTTTCATTTCAAAAATGTTCCTGTAGCATTTTACCTTTGTTAGTCTGGCATAACTAATTCTTAATTAGCTTAAGATGAACAGAATCAAAATAATTAGATTTTTGGCTAATTATTTTTATAAGAAATATAGATATTTCTTATAGCTTAGGCAGTTACTATACTTCAAAGACTTGGA